TATGAGTCACAAGCGACTTGACGGCACATAACAACAGGTAGGAGGCTCTTCTGCAATGGCTCCCCCAGTCTCTGCTTGCATGCCTCCTGGAACAGGGGGCTCACTGCTCTACTCATTCCATTATGGGCAGATAAAATGGCGTGGAAGCTTATTAAGTTTCTGCTGATATTTTCCTTCCACTGACCCTCCTCCACCTGTCTGAGCTCCTAGAATAAGCAATTCTTGGAAAATGAAGGTAGTTCCCTCCCATTGAATGTTCACAATGCGCCATGAACACTTTATTGGAATTATCCTACTTGTTGACCCATAAACTGGGTTCTATTTTATCTTCATTTTACAGACAAGAAACTGGAGACTCATGAAAGTGAAGTCATTTGCACAAAGCATCAAATAGCAGGAAGCATCAAGGTGGTAGAGGTAGAATTTTAACCCAGTTCTGAGAGCCTCAAGGAGCCAGTGCCTTCTCCGCTGGATTCTCCCACACTCCCTGACACCCTGAAGCAGGAGGCAGCCCCAACATGTACAGATCAGATCTGCCAAACTCTCCTCACTGATTTCACATTACCCTGCTCAAAATGTGCTCAAACCTGGTGAGGTGATGAAAAATAGGGTCATGGTTTATGAGAAACGCTTCCCAATTCTTTCTCCCACAGGGTACAACCATGGTTCCGAGTAATTCCCGAGCATCCCATTTGAAAAGTCCCCAGCTACCCCCAATTGGCCTGAAATCCTCTAGAAAATAGCTCCCAGGATAAAGTCAACCTCCTTAACATGACCATGGCCTGCCCTGACCCCTCTGCATCTCCCACAGTGGCCTCTCAGGCTACCAGACTCTTTGCAGATTTGATGAGTGGTCAGCAATGGATTCTATTCTGGAGGCAAAGCTTAAACTTGCCCCAGGACTATCTGTTGTCCTCATTATCTGTGTCCTTTGCAGGCCTCTACCCTAGGCAAAACTGCCTTCTTTCCCACCACCTGTATCCTGTACCATAGACCCTTTGCCTCACCTTTCCCGTGGCGCCATGAGACACATACTTGGCTCCCTCCCTCTGGGCAATTTCCACTTGTTTGCGGGCGATGCAGGGCCTGGCGAGAGAGGTGCCCAGGAGGTAGCGATCCTCGTACAGTGCGCTAGACTGGACAGCGGGCCAGATGAATTCCTCCACAAACTCCTTGCTGACATCCTCAATGAACACCTATGGGAGAAGAGCCCGTGAGAGGGAATCTCAGTGAGGACTTGGGGACCCAATCAGAACTCAGAGTCCCAGGGCCTGAATGGTCCATTTCCCCTCCTGGATCTGAAGTAGACATTACTAATTGATCCCAGCATACTCTCCCCTTGCAATCATGGCAGACATTGCTAATTAATCTTGACACACTCTCCAACCCATACTAACTATAGTCCCTAAATCCCTCTCAACACACAATTCTGGGTGTGAGAAGAAGCTTAGCTGCCATCTAAGAAATGGTGATCAGCCAGTGGCAATTCTATCCCCCAGTGACATGTGACAATGTCTAAGATACTTTTGATTATTACAACTTGGGGCATGTGCTGGTGTCCTGTGTGTAAAGGACAAGGATGTTGGTAAATATTGTACAATACACAGGACAGCTGTCCACAGAACCAAAGCCGAGGACCTTGATTTAGACAGCTCAAAATGTGGTTTGTATGGTGGGCATAGTTCAATGACTAACTTTCGAAAACATAATGAATGGGAATGAGTGTATGAAACACAATGTGAATGAAGCAAACACAATGTGAATGAAGCAAACCAATACAAAATATTTTTTTTTAATGTAGTCTGTAGACTTCCCCGCCCCCAGGGACTCAAGATCTTTTCAGGGAGAGCTGAGTCAGAAAGTTTTTCACATCAATGCTAAGATGTTATTTGCCTTTTCGCTATGTGACATTCGCACTGAGGATGATGGGTAAATGCCTAGCTTAGCATGAATGAGCAGGTGAAATGTCCAGCATAGCGTGAATCTAGGCAGAGGCACCATACGGCACTCACAACCTTTGCATGCTTGTCCTCACTGTCTGCTTCTGATGTGTGAAAGGAAAATAGAGTCGTGGTCTGTGAGAAATGCTCGCCTGACCGAACTATGCTCATACCCGTGTATTCTTGTCCTTGTTGGGTGTGGCGTGTACAGCCACAGTCTGTGAGAAACACTCGCACAATCTCACAGTGCCAACTTCACTTATGAGTGGCCCTTGAGGCAGTAACATCCCTGACTTTTCCTAAATTTTAACATTTCAAAAAGAAACATGAAGCATGTCCGAAGTCCTTTTGCTGCTTCTCCAAGTTCAAAGGGAAAGCGACGTGTCACATTTGGGTAGCAAACTGAACCAATTGTTCATTATCTTTCACAGAATCACAGAACACTGCTTTTCCTTGCGAGAACAGTTATTATCATTTAGACTTGCATTTCTGGTAGACATTTTTCAAAAAGGGTAATGACATGAGTCCGTCACCTCAAGGAAAACTAAGCATATTTGTTACAAAAAAGCAAAGACCTGCCAATTTGCTCACACAGATTCTAGTCTAGGGACTCCATGGAGCTGTTCTACTCTGCAGCACAGAGCTGCTGCGTCAGAATTGGCGTCATGGCATCTAACTAAGAATTGAGTCTCAGGACACTTAAGTAAGGTGAAATTCACAAGATATAAATGCAACCATAAATGCAACATGCTACCAACTATTAAAGCAGAGCTCCTGGTAAATTAACCAATCTAAACTGAAGGACATAGCTGTGAATAGTACATACACCATGACACACTATCCGCCACTCCAAACAGTCCACCACTCCTAAAGGAAGCCTCGCATCCACAGAGCAGTTGGACCGCAGCCCTTTCTTTTCTTATGTTCTCAGGATACTTGCAAATGTGGTGTGTCCGTAATTATTTCAATACAAAAATAAGAGATGGATGGATGGAGGGATGGAAGATGTGTGGATGAGAAATAGGCATGGAGATGGGTGTATGGGTGTGTTGGCTGAATGAAAAGAAGCCTGAGTGGGGAGTTGGGATGAATGGATGAATGATGATCCCACACATCTGAGAGCAGAAGAAAAATATCCCATGTTTTTGGAAATAAGATGTTGAATCAGAAGAAATGTAATGCCAGGGAGAGCCTGGGTTAGAAACACCTGCTGCTCCCTCCACTGTTACAACCCCAGTTTGAACCCCAAATTCTGGATCCTGGATGGTACCTTTTTGGCTCCGAGCTTCAGGGCCTTCTTCCTGGCTTCCTCAAAGTCTTCCTTCTGACCAATGTTGGCCTGAGGGACAGAAAGAGAGAATATTTAGCCTGGAAGGGGCTGCAGAGAGGAGAGCATCCATCCCTCCTCCCCCAACACGGGGTCTGAGCAAGTGCTGCCCACTCGCAACAGCCTGCAAATGGAGGTGGTCCCCGCCTCACACCCAGTCAACAAGAGGACATGAGTCCAGTTCCAAGCTGTGCCTGAGTCAAAAGGAGCTGCCTTGCAAAAATCAAAAGGCTTTCTAGATCTTAACCTTCCTTCCCAATTAACTTTCTCAAAGGTTCTATTAAAATGTCTCCAATTGAATCTCGTTATCTCCTCTTGAGCACCAGCCCGCCTTGCTATAGCAGTCTGGTTCACTGCCAAAGGAGATCTCTGTTGAAATTTTTGTGTAACTCAGAACCTGTTATTTAACACCGACGACCTATTCATAAAGAAGAGGAAGGCAGGCCTTCAACCAGGTGGATTGATACAGTGACTGCTGCTGTGGGCTCTTGTGTGTCAGGAAGTGTGAGGATGGTGCAGGATAGAACAAGATTCAGATCTTTTGTTCATAGGGTCACTATGAGTTGTGCTCGACTTGACGGCACCTAACAACAACAATAACCTATTCGCCATGCCAGAACGAGGTAAACCCAAGAATTCTTCTAACTCAGCCAGTGTAGGATCTGGCAATCTGTGTGACGTATGGGGCCAATCAGGACCCAGAGAAGACTTCCCGCCCACGGACTTCAGGCCCAAGCTACGGTCCTTCTCCAGACAGGCTGGCCCAGGAGTACTGTCAACACCACTCTCGTGTCCTCCTCCAGTAACCCATGAGAGATGGCCTTCTCTCTGCTTTAGACACATTGAGTAGGTCTGTTTTACTGATGGAGAAAGTAAGGCAGCTCAGTGACAAACTATTACCCTACAAAGACATGCTTAGAGAGAGGAATGCTGGGTTTGAACAAGTGCCAATGAGCAGATTTAGCTAGAGACAGAAGGACAAACAGGGGGAAAGACAGACACACAGGGCACGTCCTCACCAGGTAGGCAATGACATCGTAGCCTTGTTCCTTCAGCCACACCAGGATGCAGGAGGTGTCCAGGCCGCCGCTGTAGGCCAGAACCACGGAGCCCTTGCCGGACATCTTTTCTGGAAGGAGGTGAGGGAGCACATGGGTTAGAAGGTGCCAGTTCACCAGAGTCGCCAAAAAAAAAAAAAAGAAGGTGCCAGTAAGTCCCTGTATGTCTGGCTCTGCAAAGAATTCCCACCTTCTCTGCTGCCTGTCTTGGCCTGCTTTACCGCCTGCACAAAAGTACTTGGTCAGTGGGGAAGAGGATGTCCAGTGGTGATCAGTACCAGCTGGGGAGCGGTCCTTTCTTCAACCACACCCCCTCTGGAAGCCCTGATCTGGCAGAACCCACACCCTCTCCACCCTACACGGGACCTGGAATGTTGACAGCAGTGTGTGGACTGGTGGTGGGGAGATATAACTACCAGTGAGAGAAGACATGAGCCGAGCTATTGAGCCAAGGCCAGGAAACAGGATGAATACACAGCAGGATGGGGAAACTGTCCCAAGCTTCTGGCAGCTGACAAGCCCCAGTCTTAACTATTCCTTTCTAAGCAGACAGTGATAGACCCCGTGCCCCTCAATGTGGAGGAGGAGCTGTCATCCACTGTGCAGGCTCCCGGGCTGGAGGGCAGAGTACGCCCTCTGCCTGCTCCAGAACGTGCCACTCACTCAGCATGCAGGGCTGCCTCCCGCTGAACTCTCCCACTGGGGCCGCATTTCACCTCCTCCCACTGGGATTTTAGGCAAATGCCTCTGGGTGGGGGGCACACAACTCAAAGTGTCCAAGAGCAGAATTAAAGTGTCAAAGGGAGGAAAGGGCTCAGAGACCAGCCCCACAAGTGAAGACACCGAGTTCTGGAGAGGCACAGAGACAGGCTGAAGCCTAACACCTCTCTCTAACCCAGGGACTTTCCCCATGAGACCTGGAGAAACTCAAGGATGGCACAGATGCTGTGTCCCACTCGCCCCTCCTCAGCTACGCTCAAGCGTCTTGAGACTTCACAGTCCCTCATTTCCTTGTCTTTTTGCCACTGTCCCTTCCACCCAGTGAGTTCTCCCTGCCTCCCCCGGGGCATCTATGGGGCCCTGAGAATAAATGTTATCATTGTGACTGCTTTACTGAGGAGAAACTAGGGTCAGAGGAGCAAGGTTACTGACCCAAATCATATGGGCCATAGGTGACAGGGCTCTATTCGAACCCGAGGACATCAGGCTCACTGTCCAGTGTTTATTGCGTGGGCAACAGAATATTGCATCTGAGTGGGACCATTTCCACGGGAGTCTGACTGAGTCAGAATCAACCAGGACTCCTCATAGAATGTCAGTGGACCAGTAGGCAAGGTTGTGGCTGTCTTCCAGAGATGAACAGGAGCCCTGTCATTGCCACCCTAGTGTCAGGTTCCTAGGGACTGAGAACTTCCTACATGGCTCAGAGTTTGGGAAGGTGAAGGGTCCGTCCTGGGTCACCCAGTCCTGTGTGATCTTGAGCGTAACCATGCAGTCCCTAACACATTCCATAAGCCCCCTAGTGGCTTCACGCTGATAGGCGCTTGCTGTCCTTTGGACTATTGTTGCTGTTATTTGCTGCTAAGTCACCAGTGACTCATAGCGACTCTATTTACAGCAGCCCTGAAGGCTGCCCTGTCCTGAGCCAGTCTCACTGACTCCGACACACCTATCCCCATTGCTGTAGTTACTGTATTAATCCATCTCAACCAGGGTCTTCCTCTCCTGAGCTGTCCCTCCACCCTTCCTAGGAGAGGGAAATCCCTAGAATAATAAGGCTGAGGAGAGGAGAATTCTAACCAACGCCCACAACTCATTTCTTCCACTGGGGCTTCACCTGCCTGCCAGGCCATAAGCTGCTAGGAGATTCAGCAGACCCTGACTCTGGAGCCAGCAGAGAGTGCCCATGACAACTGTATCCAGGTAACTGGTCAGTAAGGATAGCAGGAATGAAGCAGGGATGGTGGTAGGAAGGGGGGAGAAAGTACCTGGAATTGGTGTTGTAGATTTCCGGCTTCAGGAATCTCAGTGAACCACTCTGCAAAGGCAAAAGCTGCTCAGCTGCCTGGCCCGACAGCCCGAGCAAGGCCCAACACCCTCTACAGCCTGGGTGAGGCCTGAGGCCCGGAACCCACCCTCTCCAGCTGTCTGAGACCCTTCTGAGTGACCCCACTGGGGAGAGGTGCCTGGAAGCCTCGATTCCCTGTCCAACCTCCTGAATAAGAAGCTCTCAGGGAATGTGCAGGTTCTGTGTGTGAAGGTGGTGTGGTTTGGGGTGGGCAGTATCTTGCTGCATATTCTTTTAGTTTTATTGAGATATAAGGGAGCTCTGGTGGCTGAGGACTAATGAGTTGCACTGCCAATCCAAAGGCACTTGGTTTGAATCCACCAGCTGCTCCATGAGAGAAAGATGGGAAATCAAATCTCCTATTCGATTTATAGCCTCTCAAAATCTGGTGGAGGGTCAGCTATGAGTCAGATACAACTCAACTGCACTACCAACATCTGAGATGTAGTTGATATGTAGTAAACGGCTCACGCTTCAAGTAAACAATTTCATAAGTCCCAACTTGTGCATGCATCCAGAAAAGCATCACCAGTGTCAAGCTAGTGAACACATGCATCACATGATGGGCCCCTCAATGTGGATGTTTTCCTGAGTTTACAGTCAAGTAAACGGGTTCAGACTAAGGAACTTATCCAATGTCTGGCTTAGCCAGTAAATGGCAGAGCTGACACCCAAACCCAGAACAGGAGGGCTCCATAACCCCCTGATCAGCGGTGGGTACAGAGGTGATCAAGGTGAGGTTTTGACTCGGGAAGGAAGAGATGTGCAAAGAGAAGGAGCTCACTGTGGAACCACAGGGGAAGAGTCAGCCAGGTCTGGTCCCAGCTTTTGCACTAAAGCTGGCTGTTGTTGTTAGGTGCTACTGAGTTGAGTATGACTCACAGCGACCCTATGAACAGTCAACCTGAAAGCTGCCCTCTACTGTGCCAACCTCATCATCTCTGAGACATTATAGCCCATTGCTAAAGTCACAGTGTCAATCCTTTTGTGGGGGACCTCCTCTCCTTCGCTGACTCCTTATCTTTCCAAGCATGAGCCAGCTGCTCATCTGCAAAATGGGAGTGAGACCCTCCCCCCATGGGGCGATGGTGAGGAGTGTAGGGGGAAGCTCACAGCTAGACCCCAAGCTTGTGCCCACTAAGCTCTCCTTAGCACTGCCACAGGCTGATCTTGGAAGGCCTTCTCTTTAAGGGACCCTGGGATGGTAAGAAGCTGCGCTGCAATCCCAAAGGCATGAAATTCGAATCCACCAGCTGCTCTGCAGAAGAATGAGAAGTCTTATCCCTTGCAATTTCCTGCCTCTGAAAACCTGCTAGAGGGTCACTTTTGAGTTGGTTCAACTCCATGGCACACAACACAAGTGGCATTGTAACTAATACAAGGCCTGCAGACTGAACGGTCAGTGGTTCCAATCTACCAGTTGCTTCATGTAAGAATGAAGTTAGAGGGTCACCAGGAATCAGAATCAACTCAAAGGCAGTGAGTGTAGAGTTTTGGTAGAGCCTTTTCTGTCTACGATTTGAATTCTCATTACTCCTTGTTCTCTCATTGCTGCCCCGTTGGAACTGGTTCACAGATGACTCTCCATCGGATTTTCAGGGCTTAAACTGCACAAGAAGAGATTGCCCATCATTTTCCTTCAGAGCAACTGGTGGATTGCCTTTTGGTTGCAGTGCAGCCCCTTACCACGAAGCCATCAGAAGCCATTATTACGCCAGTGCAATCCCAATTTTAACCTGTAGGTGCCACTGTCCTCCTACCAAATTCAGCTTAACCAGTCAAAACTCGGCTCATTTTCACATTCACCTTCATGGTGAGACAGACATGGATTTTTTTTCCTTCCCTTTTCCTTATTCTTCTTCAAATGACAGAGGAGGAAGCTCAAGTCCAGAGACTTGCTCAAGCGACATACACACTGAGCTTGCTGATGCTCTCGGCAGCAGCATTTCTGGGGCCCTAGCAGGGACAATAAACTCTCTGAGACTCCAACCTTCTAATAATTTTCCTTTATTCAAGACCAGGGGTTATTTGAGAGTTTGCTTTGACTTAGAAAGCTCTAGTCTCTAGAACTGATAAAAATGTTCAAGAGGGTAAGAAAATTAAGTGAAAACAAAACGCAGATTCTCTTTTAAGACAATTTGGTTATTTTGGAAAGAAGAGCATACTCATAATTTTATTATGTTGAAGGGAGCTCTCTCTGGTGGCTTAGTAGTAAGGAATTGTGCTGCCAACACAAAGGTATGTGGTTTGAATTCACCAGTTGCTTTGAGGGAGAGGGGAAATACAATCAACTCTCTGTCTTTTTTTTTAGCAATCAACTCCTACGCAATTTACAACTTCTGAAAACCAGCTAGAGGCTCAGCTATGAGTCGGTTCCTACTTGACAGTTCATAACAACAATTATGTTGAAGGAGAACCGTGGTGGCCTAGTGGCAATGAACTGCACTGTTAACCTAACGGCACGCTATTCGAACCCCCAGCTGCTCCACAGGAGAAAGATGGCAATCTCCTCCTGTCTAATTTACTGTCTCCAGACACACACAGGGTTGGTTTCAATGTGATGGTATGTAACTACGACGACGATTATATTGCTGGGAGGCCCGGTGGTGCTGCCTGTGGGCAGCTGCACCACTAATCCTCCATAGGCAGCACCTTCCCAGCAGTTTGAATCCACCCGCAGCTCCAAGGGATGAAGACAGGCAATCTTCTCTCCCAGAGCCTCTGAAAACTCGCTAGAGGGTCAGCAATGAGTCAGCTGTCAATGAGCTCCTATGGGCAGGGGCCTGCCTAGCATCTGCGGAAGGAGTCTGCCCCTCAGGAGGGAGGCAGCCAGGGCCTGGAAGGGCAACTCTGCTCCAAGTGTTGCAGTAGACACCAGGGCCTTGGACATCAATTCAAAACAACTGACATCTGCCACACGGATGGCCATGGTCAAGTCACTCATGTCAGAAGCCACATGCTCACTAATCAGTTGAAGGCATCTGTCTGGCTGGCTTGC